TGCGATGAGGCGGATGGAAAAGGACAAGAATGGTGTGACGGTGGTGTTCACTCACACGCGGGATCTAAAACAGAATGCAGCAAGGGAAAAAAAACCCACGCTCAGACACAGACGGCGGAAAGGTGGTTAACGGAGGGAAGAGGAGGTGGGGGGAGGACGAAGGGGGTCAAATCTATGGGGACAGGAGACCAGACTCCGGCGGTGAGCATGTAATAGAGCGCGCAGATGTCATATTATGAAGTTGTACACCTGAGATTTAATTAATGTCATTAGCCGACGTTATCAATACACTTAAGAGGCATAAGGTGTTAAAACTGGTTTACTGTCAACTTTTAATAATCTGCGCTGTAGGAGTGGAAATACTATACACATGCTCCACGTCGTTTTATACGTAGGTCTCAGGTCTCAACTTTCCCCATCAGTGATGTCACAGTCGGCCACGAAAAGTCCTGTTATTTCCCTTGCCCTTGCTGAATGGCATCGGACCTGCCAGAAAGGAAAGCGCGTGGCACGGGTGGGTGACCGCGAGGAAGAATCCACACTCTCCAGATAAAACCTAAAAGGCTCTGGGACCACATTCCAACCATTCTGTGTGGGGTCGCATAACACCTGGCACATCAAGGTCAGCAGACCTGTGATTACCCATGGGGACACGCCAGCACTCTTCAGGTGGCTCAGGGGCCAGGACTCAGGCCCCCACAGATGCACAGACACCAGGTGCTGGATGGGGGCTGGGCTCCTCCAGGGAATGCAGGGATCACCTGCTCGGGGGCCCTCGGCCAGCTCAGTAGATTAAATTATTCATGTTTTCTGCCATTTACTGTGGATGCCGAGGGTGGGCTGCACATGGCACTGGCTGTACGCGCACTTGGCAAACAATCCGGTTCCTGGGGACCGGCCTGGACCAGAGGAAAACAAGCTGCACAAGCGCTTCACTCTGGATGCTCACGTCGCATGGTTCACTCTGTCACTCCCTCCTCATAAAGGCAGGTGAGGATGTACCGCCCAACTAAAAAGACATTTGCACCGTGTAAACAAAATGCAAATCCCGAGGACACACGAAGAGCCCATCGCTTCGCAATAATTGAGAGGGTCACCCGAACAGCATCCTCGCCAGAGAGGACTGAAACAGGCACACGAATCAGAGGAATGGATAAGATGCAGGAGCCAAAATGCAGAACACAGGGCGTGTTGCCTCAGGGACAGTCTCCCCCGCGAGCCGCTGAGCTGCGTGAGGGTGGCAGGCTGGACAGCGGCAGAGGCGCGACCCGGAGCTTGGCTCCCACGCCGATGGCGGCGAGCCCTTACAGAGCCCAGGCTGTGTGCTCTGGCCAGCGACCAGCAGGGGACAGGGCACAGGGCGCAGCTGGGTGCCAGCACCGTGGGGCGAAATTCGGGCACGTTCCACGCTCCAAACCCATTTCTCAGTCTACTGTGGGGAGGATGCGGAGGAGGACGACCAAGACAGCAGCTTCATGACAGAAAAGCACTGCGTGTTCTCTTCAGTCACAGCAAGAAAATGCCACATTCTTAAAAATTAAACTGAATTAAACATATAAAAATATATGCTAATATGTGAGCTAAGCACATACTCTGTGAATTAAAATCCCAACGCAAACCACTAGAGCTCAGCAACACAGCTGTGGTCTCCCCGCTCCACACACGCGCACACGTACACGCAAATGCACACGCACACACGCACACGCGCGCACGCGCCCCTTTCATTTCGAAGGTATTCGGAGGACTTTCATTGCTTCGTGGAAGATCATTTGCATTATAAACGTGCGATGCTGGTTCACTGAGTCCCTTGCCAGAGAGCTCGCTGAGTGAGGCTTTCTGGCTCAGTTTCGTTTGGATCCCACCACAGCAGAGAAAGTCGGCTTGTGGCAACACCGGGCGGGGCGGACGCTAACGCCCCAAGCGGGGTTAACAGGGCCCCGCGGATGCCAGTTAAAAAAGGATCATGGTTTCCATCAAGCAAAGAGTCCTCCTTGGTGACACTTTTATGTGGAAAATGACCTTGCACTTGGGAGGTTCACTCTCCAACACATGGAAACCTGGCACGGTGTCAACTACAGAGGACAGAAGCCAAGGTCCCTGCTCTCGACTCCCAGGGTATCAGAGCACACAAGACCTTCACCAAATGGGTCTGAACATCTAGATGCTGTGCTTTACCCAGCTGTGACCATTTTTTAAGACTCCTCAACTGACTATGCACGCCCACACTCCTGACCCATCCAGCTTGGCAAAGAGAAGGCAGTTTATGAGGAGACAAGCAAAGTGAGCCAGTGGTCACAAGTAGCACCGCCTGCTTACTTCTACGAGGGCCGGTTATCCGAGGAAGACAGCACGGGAGAGCAAAAACCCCACTTTCACTTCTCATTGAAGGAAAAGGAC